GTGCGTGTGTTTCTGTGAGAGTGTGCGTGTGTGTCTCTGTGAGAGTGTGCGTGCGTGTGCATAAGTATGCGTGTGGTATTTTTGCAGGCTGATGTTAACGTTAGGTGATCCCTCTGAGACGACACACACTCGTCCGCGCGCACACACGCCCACGCCGGCGTGTACTCCCTGACACATGCTCAGTGCAGCACCGTGCCCCCCCCCCATTTATCCATTCTGTTAAGCATGACACATGTATTAACAGTAGATGGATCCTGGAGCTGTGTGTCCTCACACCATATGTTGAGCTTTCCCAGGTCCTCTCCCGCCGGTGCCGCCTCATGGCGTGCCACAAGAGGGCGCTGTGGTGGCTCAGGCCGACGTATAGATCGTGTGTGATGTTTGTGGGGCGGGCGTAGGACTGCGTGCGAGGTGCGCTGGCCCACAGACGGCAGACTGTCTGAAGGAAACAAACAGACAAGACTCGCATTCATGTGAGAAATGAATGCCGGGCAGGTTTCTGTGTCTGTGAGGTGCATCTGCCATCTACCCGAATGGGAAATTAAAAACTGTGAAGGGAAGTTATGCTAAATCTATAAAGTTGGCCGGGAAAGCGCTCCCCCCTCACAGCGGCAGTTGTTTGGGGAGAAGGAGCAGCGTGCTTAAATAATAACATTCCAGGTGGCTTAGTTAATGAACAGTGAAAATCAAATATGGGGCCTAATCTGGAGCTCGTTACAGGAAGTTTCTTTACAGGGAAGTCAAAGGCAGGAAGTGCCCTTGGGGACAGACTAAACACTTTTTGAAGCTTGAAAACAAGGAAACTTTATTTTGCGTTCGTTTTCGAGGTGTGGGCTGTTCTCACAGCAGACCTGGCACCCACAGAGCTCAGATCCTCTCGTTAGGATCGCATTTAACGTCTCGTGTGTTTAATGTCCGTGCTGCGACTGCAGCTCTGCTCGCTCATCTGAGCACTTCGGCATCTCATTTCCTGGTCTTAGATCGCCATCGTGTGGCTGCAGGTGGGTATGACACCAGTGAGGAGCCATGATCCGGGTCTTTTCCTGGCTCAGGAGGGGCCGCTGGGAGGTGAAGGCTCGACTCACAGCCCCTCTAATCATGTGATCACTAAGCAGCCTGTCAGAAGCAGCAGTGTAAGCTCACATTAGTCTGCTGCAGGTGTTAACAGGACCTCTGTTACTTTGTCTTTAACATGAGTCCCGTACTTTTATTTGTAGACATCGGTTTGCTCAGCATCACGCTGCTGTCCTGCACAACAAAAATGAGACTATTTGGCCCCCAACTGGGTAGACACATGAAAATC